CCAAGCCTGCCAGCTTTCACGGTGATAGGTGCAGGGGTTTGGAGGAAACTGCACCTTAGGCTGCTGACAGACACAACTCGTGACACAGACGAGCGAGGAGGTGGCGTTCGCTCCGTCTGCACCTGGCACTTGGGGACCGCGGCAGCAGGAGTTTCACCTTGAGGAGCACCAGCTGCTCCCCCAAACCAGCACCCAAGCAGGTGTGGTGCATGTCACAACACCCGCAGGCATGCTGAACACCCTCTCGCTCGGCACGCCGGTCAGTGGACAGGACTGGTATTCCTGGGCAACTGTGGCCAGATCCGGCTGCATTGGGCTGCGGGTTGCCGGCCAGGGGCTCCACAGGCTCGGCAAGATGGGCAGACACCGCGGTGTGAGGGCTGTCTGCCTGATCCTGGGGTCTGGTGGGTCTGGACCCCCTCATGTATGCCATGGCCTTAGCTCATATTGGCAGCGCCTGTGGTGGAGGGGAAGACTGGCTCGTGGATGGGGGCTGCGTTCAGGCAGTGGATCCCGCTGTCCCACTTCCCCCCGCCTCCACCGCTCCGCCTCCGTCACTTCCTTCATCAGTACCTCCCGCCAGCGACTCAGTGTCTCGCTGCCACATCTGGTGCCCTTCACCCTTGGGTCACAGATGGCGGCCAGCACATGCACTGTGTTGGACCCCAAGGGTTCAAGCCTTTTCCTAAGGCCTCCTTCAGCCAACTCACCAGTGCCTGCACATCTGCCCCAGCCAGGAACATCAGCCCCCGGGAAGCTCTCCATTTGGCTGCGGAGCTTCTTCACTATGGGGACCACCTGGCTGAGGAAGGCATCAGCAGCACTGAGGGTCCCAGGCGCCTTGAGAAATGGCTTGAGGACCAGCAAGATCTGGGAGATGGCATCCCACTCAGCTGTGGTCAGGGGGCCGCTGATCCCAATCTCCCCAAGCAAGGCCAGCTCATGGATGGCCTTCTGTTGCTCCACCGGCCTCTCGAGCATCAGGTATGTGGAGTCCCACTGAGTCTCCACATCCTGGGTGATTCTGTGCTGTGGGACACTTAGCTCTGCTCGTTTGTCCCGCAGCATCTTGCCCCCCTTGATGCTCCGATGGAAGTAGCCCGCCACCTTCCTGCATCTGGAAACGAGTCTGCTGGTGTTGCTGGCGCCATCACCGGCAGCCCTGTCCCCCTCCAAGGCATCCCTCACAATCAGATGTAAATTGTGTGCCACACAGCGAATACCAGCTAAGTTGGCATCATGGACTGCCTTGACCGTATTGGCCCCATTGTCGGTGACCATGAAGCCGCGGGTGAGCTCAGCCTGCCCAATGCCGAGCCACCCCTGCACCATGTGGTTCATGGCCCCCCTTATCTCTGCTGCTGTGTGGGACTCATCCATCACCTTGGCGTGAAGGAGAGCCCACCGATGGCCTGACTGGCCACACCAGTGCCCTGTGAGGGAGAGGTACGCATGATCTCCACCCCGACTGCCAACAGCAGATGTCCGAGGTGAAGCGTACGGTCACCCGCAGACCTGCCTCGTGCAGCTCCTCTCTCAAGCGCTCCCTGCACATTTCATGTTGGGGGGGGCACCACCGTCCTGCTGAAGGAGGTGCGTGCGGGCACCTGGTAGGATGGAGCTAGCAGTGCCAGGAGCCGCCTGAACCCTGGCTGCTCAACAAAGGTGAAGGGCCGGCCATCCAGAGCAAGCATCTCCCCGATGGTCTGGGTGACTTTGCTCGCATTTGCGATTGGTCCCTTTTGCCCCCCATGTTGCAGGGTGCCCTGCCTCTGTGGTGGGGGGACGGGGGCTGTGGAGCGAGCGGGGGCCATTCCTGTGCCAAAGGGGTGGTATCTGCAGAGATGATTCAGCATCCCCAAGGTGGTCATGCGCTTTTGTTCCCTTGCCCCAGCTGATTTTGGCTGGGCAGTGCGCACAGATAGCAAACGCAGGATGTTCTGCCAACTCATAATGATCCCAGACCATGCTAGTACTAGGTCTTTCCCTCTGGCATGTGGGTGCATCTGTGGATGCTGCTGAACTCTCCCCCTCTTCAGCAGTCAGAGGCACAGCAAGAGAAAGGGCGGACTCAGCTGAGCCGCTTACCTTCACCTGTACGGAGGCACCTCCTGAAGTGCCTTCTGGGAAAGACCTCATGGCTTGAAAGGAAAAAACCCAAGGGGTGTCGAGCACAAACTCGACTGATTCCCCCTCTTTCCCCAGAGCTTCCCTTGCCAGGGCACTGAGATCCAGATCCAGCGCCAGGTCTTCTTCTGGCGCAGGAAGGCTCAGCATTGGCAGTGACACAGGGGTGAAGCGCGCTGCTGTGCTGGTTGCAGTTATGGTGGGAGAGGTTGTGGCTGCTGTGTCTGGACACAAGAGAGTCTCCGGCACAGGCAGCGGCTCTGGTGGCACTGCTGCTCCCCTCTCTTTATTGCTGGTAACAGCCTCATCCCTTGTGGCGGGAGGAAAGAGGCTGCGTCTGAGTTTGGTGGGGGGAGAAACTGCAGCTCTCCCACTTGCAACCTCTCTTGCTCCCCTTTGTGCAGGCTGGCCACTGTGGCCACCTGCCTTTCTACCCCGCTTCATAATGTGTGCCTTGGTAGGTAAACTGGGACCTCTAAGTGTGCTGTGAGCCACGGGTTAGATTTCTGGATGTTATGTCAATGTGTTTGTGTGTGTAGATAATATATTGAGAAGCGCTGGTGTGGTGGAAAGAATGAATGATGTATAAGAAATATATAGAATAGATCCTAGGCTACTACTAGCCCTATCCAATATAAGCGTAAACTAATATGAAAAGTAGTTATAAAATAAAAGCACCAAGTTCTCAGAAATCCCTGTTGCTAGCGTTGCAAGCAGGGAATCTGTTGAAGATCAGGGCTTCCAGCCGGCATGGTCTGACGCAGCGGTGCTGGAGAGCACCAGCAGCTCAGACACGGACCCCAAGGCAGAAAGCAGGGAGTGGAAGAACTGCTGCCTTTTCTGCATTTTCTCTAGCCCTCCCCCAGAGCACTGGGATTGGAAGGGACCTCAGAGAATGCTGACAGGTCACTGGCCAGCCACACGTCAGTCATGAAAGCACTCCTTCCCCCTCTCCCCACTCACTTTCCTTCCCCCCCACCCCTGCACAGGGAATCCAGTGTAGGCAAGTCGAATATTCGACCCGCGCTGTTAATATTCGACTTCCAGTATTCGATTTGACAGCTATTCGACCAGCTGCTATTCGACTCGACTTTCACTTTTCAAGGTCAAATATCTGTCGATTCGAGTATTAAGTTGAAGCTTTGCACAGCCCTAGTGTGACGGGACCTCAGGAGGTTGCATATAGTCCATCCCCTGCTCAAACCAAACTAGATCATCCCAGCCAAGGCTTTGTCTAGCTGGGTCTTAACCTCCACGGATGGAGAGTCCACCACCTCTCTGGGTAACCTGTTCCAGTGTTTTACTACCCTCCTAGTGAGAAAGCTTTTCCTAATATCTAACTTAAACTTCCCTTGCTGGAACTTGAGAGGATTGCTCCATGTTTTGTCATCAAATGAGTCTGCATGTGACTATAGTGGGTGGGGAAGTTAGGAGCAGAGCAAAAGGCCATTTAAATGAGCGATAATGAAACATCTCCTGTGATTACACATCCAAACCCAGAGGAAACAAAAGAGCCTTCGGAAGCTCCTGAATGTCCTTCTTCCCCATCCTAGAATACGAACACAATGATTCAGCCTAGCCAGTGGTTACTGGTTTCCCCTGGGACTTTCTTCTCTAAGTGCTGAAGAAAGATAGTGTCAGTCTAAGTCTGTGAATATAAAATTAGCTTTAGCTTGTGTTCTTCTGCTGGGCAGGTCTTGCTTTTAGCAGGAAAAAAATGACTGAGAAACACGACATAGAATCCCAAACCAATGCATGGCTCTGTATGGAGACAGAGGTATATTCACAGAAAAGAGGGCTGGAAAAGACCTTGAGGAATCATCTACTGTCTCCCTGCCCTGAGACAGGACCAGCTCTACCTAAACATCTGTCAGGACCGGTTTGATGGAGAACTGAAGTGATTTGGCAGCTCTTGGTGGGTCACAGTGCATTTGAATGACAAGGGAAAGTTGTAAGCTTAGGGTCTCCCCAAGATTCACGTTCGTCATTGGTGTCATGTTGGAGACACCCGTGAGAGGTGGCCTCCCAGCGCCTGGCATCTGGGACGGGGTCAGGGCACATGGGTGCTCTGGCCAAGTTTCTCTGTGAGTCAGCGGTGTTGCTCAACTCCCTCAGCCTGCCCAAGCCTCAGTTTCCTTGTCTGTTCACCCAGCACACCCTTGATCTGGGGTCACAGACACTTTCGTGAGCTGTGGGTGCACAAGGCAAGGGTGTCTTGTGGGACTACAGATGGTTTCCAAGTCCCAGATGAAATCTTTAGGGCTGGGCACAAGGACATCTCTGTCTGAAGATGCATGCCAGCTCTGTCGCACCAGGATTAAAACCTGTGTGCGGATATGGGCGGGGGTGTGACTCCAGCAGTGGTTCTCAACTGTTTGAGACTCCTGGCCCCTCTTGGAAAACACCAACACCTAGCTTGCACTTGGGTTTTGCCTATGGACAAATCCTAGAGCAGTTCTTCTCTTGCAAAGAACTTAGAGAGACCGACAGGGCAGAGGGGATTAGACACTGGATTCCCACCTGAAATCTCTGGGTACATCTTGCGACTCAGGTGTAGCAGGTGGCCCACCTGACAGTGCTTGTACCATGGGGCACCCCAGAAAGGATCCCAGGGCACATGGCTGGGAATCACTGGGCTGCAGGCATCGCTTTGCAGATCCCTTTCCCCTTACAGCAGCAATTGGTGCTCAGCGGGCAAAACCTGTCTTGCTTTACAAAGGCTTCCACCCAGGTGCACTCACAGCCCTGGTGCAGCCTCTTCTACGCCCATCCACATGCATGTCTCTTCTGCTTCTGCCCAGGTACTTCCCCTGCCCCTCCAGTGAGCCCTCGTAGCCAGCACCCCTTCCCTGCCACCTGGGCAAGCCCCGATTCTCACTTTGCACTGCACCTGCGACCTCCTCCTGGGGACAGCCCAGCCCCTGGCCACTTCAGTCACAATGGTGGTGGCCTCTGCGGACCCCGTAGCCCTCATCCCCGAGCTTTAAGGAGCTGCCATCAACTGAGTCGGACCATATAAAACCACCCTCTCTCCCGGCCCCAATGTTTCACCCATCGAGCGAGCCTTTGCTCTGCCATGTAGCTCTGAACAGACAGCATGATCAGAAGCAGCTATGTCAGAGCCCTGCAGACTGTTTTTAACTCAGTCCAATGAAGTTAAGTTTATTTTTACTTTGATTTAAACTGAATAACGTTGCCCTAAAAACCCCTAGCTTAGGGGTAAAGCTTCTAGTTTCTTTAAGGGGAGAAAAATGTGTGCCGTGTTATAGGTGAGGATGAGCCTCCCCCTCTGCACCCCCTTCTCACCGTACAGGAAGCACCGAGTCCTGAGAAGTGGGGCTGGAAGGGGTACACAGAGGTTAATCTAGCCCAACCCCTACCTCCTCCAAACCGTCCTGTACAATCCATCACCTACACTCAACACAACCCGACCATCAGCCCTGATGAGACACCTGCCCCAGGGAAGAGAAGGTGACCACAGCAGCCAGTGCCCTGCTTCTAGGAAATGCTGTCACTATACGCTCAAGAGAGCTCAGGCACAGGCCATGCCCCTCCTACAGAAGGAAGCTGTACCAGTCTGACCCTGGGGTAAAAATCCCTTCCTGACCCCAAATGTGGCATTGGTCTGACCCTGAGCAAGGAGGGGCAAGACCCTCTAGCCCAAAACTTTTAAGTCTCTGCAGAAGCACTGGCACAGCCCAGCCACCATCCCCAGCACCCAGTGCTGCTGTGGGAGGCTTCAAAACCCCCTGACACCTCTGGGGTCCTTTCCAGCCCCACTGCTCTAGGATTTGAGGTCCCCTCTCGTCCATCCCACGGAGCAATGAAACTGGCTGGAGAGCCGGGGAACAGGACTGCGGAGGAGAGGCCGAGCAGGGGTTGAGGGATGAACAGCAGCCTTCAGCAAAGAGGATGGAGCTGGGTGGGTGGCAGAGAACAGGCAGCAGAGGAGGGCGAAGCACCTCCGGAGGCAGCAGTGAAGTCACAGACTCACAAACCACGAGGGCTGGAAGGGACCCCAGGAGGTCACATCTAGTCCCATGTTTCTCCAACCTTTTTTGCACCAGGACCCATTTGCAAACATCAACAAGCCGGCCCAACCCAGTGCCCCTCACTCCCACCCTGCTGCCCTCAGGCCCCAGCCCCCTGTATGGGCAAGGGGGGGCCCGGGCATGCTGGACCTCTGCAGCCTGCAAGGGAAAAACCCTGGTTTCCCACATTTTTCTCCTTGAAAGCAAAACCCATTTTTTAAGTTTATTCCCCGCCCTTCCATACGTTCTTGTGACCTGCAGGTTGAAAAACACGGATCTCATCCATCCGCTGCTCCAAGCGCCACCAGCCCCAGAGGTATCGCCTCTCCCACCCCCCCAGGGACGGGGGCTCCTCCACCTCTCCCCCATCAGCCACAGCCTTAGGGAAGGGCAAACCAGGCAACCTCCCAGGGGCCCAGATTTGTTGGGGGGTGAAGTTTTTGCAAGGAAGTGGCTCTATTTGCGTTTAAACACTCAACCACTTATCTAATTCCCCCCACAACTATCTTAAAAAAAATCCACTTGTGGCGGGTTCATATTGTTTACCTCTAAGGGGCCCCAAACGACTGTTGCCCCGGGCCCCCCCGGACCCCCCCGCGCGGCGCTCACCGTGAAGGGCAGCGAGCAGACGACGAAGGTGACGGTGACGACGGCGAGCAGCACGAGGTGGT